TAGCTAATTATCATGCAAATTAGGTAATTAATATGCACGGATTTTTACCAAAAATTAATCAAATCTGCGCATATGTTCAGAGCATCTATGTACCAAGTTTCATCAAAATCCAATGAGTGGTTCTTTAGATATCAGTGGAACAGTCATAGAACAGCTAAAAATTAGCTAATTATCATGCAAATAAGGTAATTAACGAGCATGGATTTTTACCAAAACCTAATCAAATCTGCGCATTGGCCCAGAGCATCTATGCACCAAGTTTCATCAAAAACCGATGTATGGTTCTTGAGATAGCAGTGGAACAGTCGGACACACATACACACACACACACATACACACATACACACATACACACACACATACAGACACACTAACTGCAAAGACTCCCATTTTGTGCTTCGCACATGGGAGTCAAAAAAAAAAAAATCACTAAGCTCTCTGGATAGCAGAATCTAACAAAGTTACACTTGCAACAATTTACTTTCAACAATCAAATCCCACCACAACTACCCAGACTGAAAACAGACCAGAATTTGTGGGGAGTGATGAAACTAAAAGACACATATTTAAACAAACTGACAAAACAAGGCATACCAAATGTTCGAGGAGTGGATATGCCTCAGTCACTTACCGAGCCCAACTAATGTCATATTGCTGACATTGTGATGTTTAGCAACAAACTCTCTCAAAGTTTCTGGTGTGATATTTCCAACGTTACTGTCGGGGCAATAAAGCGAGTTTTTCAGTGACGTCCTGTAAGCGGCAGCATGTAATCGTTCCAACACATCTAGAAACAGAACAGAATTGTTTGCTACATGTAAATAAATATTGTTTGAAATGATCTGATTTACATACCTAAATTATAATTTTTCCATAAACTTTTCATAAATTTTGTGGGCTTGATCAACATTATTTTGGTGTCATCAACAATATATACACTCATAATTTTCATCCAGACTTGTAGGCAATGATAAAAACAAGTTTTTATGAAAAAAGCATAAATGATCTAAAGATGGCAATTCAAATTCAGCATTCTGTATGTAAATCACCCTGTCATGCTGTCCTCATGCAACATTTGAGAAATACATTGGTTACATAAAATGAAAAAAAATTGGGGCTTCAGTATACATGCTGGTGATTTGGGGGTGAATGCTTTTGCAGTTTGAAATTAGTCACTAAGATTATTCACACATCACAACACTTTAAGCAAGAAGACGATGTGTTCTTACCTATCTGTGGCTGCTGTTTGGCCAGTCCTACCTCAAACTGTATCCGTGATAGGGTTTCCTCCACTTCCCACGGTCTGAAGGATGGCGATGAGATGGCGTGCGTCATGTAATTCACTGCTTTGTCTCTGTAATCAACAAATAAGAAGAATATGCAATGTCTTCAATTCTCAACATCTTATACATTGTACATTGTTTTCACTCGCATTCCACACATTGCATCATGGGAAATCTAGGGATATTATAAGAGACAGTAATGTACACACAATTCTCAGCATCTCCAATACGAACGTTTTCACTCGCATTCCACACATTGCATTATGGGAAATCAAGGGATATATATTATAAGCGACGGTAATGTACACAAGATTCTCAGCATCTCCAATACAAAGATGTACTCCCATGAAATGCCAAATTTCAACAGATGCATTTGTTTATGCTCTGTACGACCTATGATTGTTTGCAGTGATATTGCATTAGAATTGAGGGCAGATGATACCCATCAGAGAAACATTATGCAAGGACAATAGTTCTTAAGTTTAGCTTTTTTCATCTATTGACTTGCAAACACAGCGACTATAGAAAATGTGGGTACATCTACCTGTCTTTAGCAAGCAGATTTTACATGGGACAGTAGTTAATTAGCAAGTGGTCAAAATACACTACAGGTGGCACACCTAAAAAAAAAAGTTTATCATAAAAAAAATCCATACTTTGAAGAGAAGAACATTTTAAATGGGATCGGACTGTCGCAAAGTTGTCCGGTGGGCAGACAAGGTTTAGGTTTCAATTCAATCCGCACTCCCCAGCAGTAAAATGGAAAAGAGTAATTTTATAACAATTCCTGCTTGATGTTTACCAAACTGTGAAAGATTTCATTGGATATCGCCAACTCACAGAATTCTTGAAATACATGTATAGACATGAAGATTTTACAAACTTACAGTGTTCTCCACAATCCAAAATAGCTGGTGGGCGGCCTAATTAGCATAAATTTGCATATTAATTTGCATGTCATTTACATACAGCATTCTAGCATTTATGTCATGAACTGCAATACACACTAAGTTATTTACTATTCTCTTTTTAATTTAATTGAAACATGTTACAATTTTTTGAAATACAAACAGATTGGTCACTATTATTATTTACGAAATGCAAAAAGTTTGAAATCGGTGATTTACACGTTCGCAAATTATTCTACGTTCATGAAATGCAATTCGAGTAACCAAGAGCAAGTACAAGAGTTATAATGTAGAAAATATACGAGATGATTTGTCCCCGACGCCAAAACGGACGATTTGTCAAAATAAAACTCATAACATTTTTTATTTGTGGCATCAGTACTCACCCGTGCCGACGGACGGTAAGATGCATTTACGCATTTACTAGTACGGTCACGATACGTTGCGTTGCGTTTTCACACGTTGTTTTGGAATTCAAGAAAAAATGCTAGCAATCGGCAAAAGAAAAGAATCTGCTATGTTCTCAAAAGATTAGACATAAAAAATGGATAAATTGAAAAAAAACATGGAAAAGATAACTAAAATATTATTCAATTACAAATACTCGCGGTAAACTAATCCGGCAGCCATGTTTGATGTTTATTACCGCTTTCCGAATTTAGTACACGAACACCCAGAATGCGCTGTTCCCCTATGCAACTTAGATACTAAATCGTTACAGCGCCAACAACGGTGGGTGGCCGACGGTCGTTGAATGGGGTAGGCCAAAAGGTCACCAGTTTGCCTCCTCCATGCTGTTTTCACGATGAAAATCGAGCGAACGTTGTAAATACGGCTAGAATTTTAATTTTTGTTCGAGTTTACATGCAATCTGCTAATATATTTGTTTATTTACTGTGCATATACATTTCGTTCGTATTTACTTCTTTCTTTCGTGATCAGAAGACGATTATTAAAAATACAGCTGTAAATTTAAACCACTGTAGTTGCGTATTGTGAGCAATAAGTGGCAACAATGTCGGGCGACGATGAATTCAGCGATTGACACATTGCCATGAATACATTTGATAACTGCTTGCAGACTTCCAGTGGTCATTGTTTATGTTTGGACTCTTGAAACAATAGCAAAATAAAGGGTTGGGCAACTACTCCTTTGTTTAGGCTTGGGAAGAACAATGCAAGCTTTTTACAAATAATTTCAGCTGGATGTACGTTGGTGGGCGGGTGTTGAGAGTTACTAGGCGGCCGTACAACTTGATGGGCGGGCCGCCCACCTAAAACCCCTTGTGGAGAACACTGCAACCATAAAATTCTGATTGACCAGGGATCACATGTGGCCACAGTCTTCAACTGTGACCTGTCTGATAGTAATTTTGGCCCTAAGGAAGTCATAGATGGCTCCATTTTACCATAGAATTATCAAAAACTCCACATCCTGGTAGGAGGAACCCTATCTTCCTTACTTGGTGGCGCCGCTGAATTGCAGTGCTCCCTCTTGCAGTTTTTTTCAAGAAAAAACCCTGATAATACCAATGTTTGAATGCGCGCTTTGAACTGAGCCTTGGTTTCAAACAGACATTTTTAATTATTAGAGCTGGAATGCCTGATAACTGAGTTGTGTATTTACCTATATACTTCACTTTTCACTGTATAGGATGTATGGACGTCTTGTAAATGTTCTGGTGCAATGTATTTTAATGTGGTCTTTGTACTGCTGCTTTCATGTCTACGTGCAGAAGCCTTTGTTAGAGAAAATCCACAGTCTGAATCTGATGAAAATTTATTTTCAATTGCAC